CCCCAAAACCCCAAAACCCCAAAACCCCGTATAAGAGCAACAGAGTTGGCATATAATAAATAATTAAAATTTTTATGACTACTACTACCATATTGTTGCCAAAAATAGAAAGAGATAACTCCGACCCAACGTAAGTAGATAGTGCCTATTTGAGATTCCAAAATAACCTCAGATTTCAGAGTGAGGGTTTTCTTGAGCTCCTCCAAATGGTTAAAAAGTTTATGATGTATGCTAAAATACAAACTTATCAGGAGAGTACCGCACTCTTTGATGATAGACTAGCTTTTTAGATACTTTCTAACTCTTTCCTCTTACTAGTATTATTGAAGATCAACTTAGTCAATGCAAAGGCTGATCAACTTTTTAATATTAATCCAAATTTAGTAGTGTCATGTTAATTGATTCCTATATAGGGGACTTACAAGACAGCAAAATGGATTGATGCCAAGCCTCAAGCTCTGTGAATTATCAACACCCAGCAAGCTTTTAAGGTAAGCCTCTTTCACAGTTGTTATTAAACATCCTTCTTCTACGATTTATCTTCAGTTTTTAATCTGCTGTATAGTAAGCGTAAAAATAGAGTCCTTTCTATCAAGACTACAAAGAGTACTAATAGTGGAAAGAAGAAATTAAACTTCTCCACCATGATTCAGGACATGAAGAAATCCTGTGCTGAAAACTCTGCCTCACCCAAACGTCATAATGGCTTCAGAAGTCCAGGATCCGATATCGAATATGTCTTCGCAAAGTCAAAGATTTCAGGGAGATCTCTTCAAGAGAAGAGCATTTCTAATGCTCTTGACACTATCGGAATCTTCCAAATAAACCTAGGAGTAGTGATGAAGGACTACTGTTCCATCAGCTCCTTGTAAATTACCAAAACTGACTTGTTTACAGTTTGTCAGCGTCCAATAATTTATCCTAATACCTTCTAAGTATCCCTATATTTTCAAATTTGGTTCACAAGCTTCCCTATTCCACTCCTGCAAGTCAGATTTTATAATGTCTTTAAAATTTAAGGTACAAGATTTAAGACTAGTGAGTTAAGAGCAAAGACAGGGCTTTTAGAAGAGGGGCATTAAATGGTTTAAATTTCTATAGACTTGTTTAATAGGTATGTGACATTTACATATCTTTTAAAAGTATGTAACAATCATTAAGACGAGGGAAAAGAATTAGAGGTTTTTTGATAACTAGATATTATAAGTTAGTTACTTTATTAACCGCACCATATTGATTTTTATAAAACTCCACCTGAATCGTTCTAGCAGATATATGGTTGTATGAAAATAATACACTTTGCTTATAAATAATTCAGTTTAATGAAACATTTTACACCTTTTCACCTTAAGATTCCTAATAGCCTGTGCTCTTGTGAGAAAAATAGATGGTCTCATTCAAAAAGATTTGGGATTAGCTTTATCAATAATATTTTTGATCGATGGGAAAGTATAATCCCAGGATATGCCAGAAGCCAAGTTTTTATTAACTCTAAAATTTATCGAATCATCGGCATCATGGTGGTGTGGCAAGCCTGAAATTCATATTTAGTAGGTATTGGTAGTATCCGTCTTTTAGTAAACGTAAAAAATTAAGCAAGCTTGTAGCAATCAATAGAAAATTAATCAAAAACTCTGCTAAGTCCTTATATTTTCTTAAATTATCTATTACGATCATAGTCCTTAATATCTCCCAAAGAGTAACCATAAAATTTTGATGCCAGAATTCGCCCAAACCTTCAGGGCTGCTTTGAGCCTTTAAACAGTCCTTTATTCTAAATTATTGAGCTACTAGATTATTGGAGCTTAAATTTTTTATTAGAAATAAACACCTTTCTTGTTGAAAATAGTCGTAAAAATCGACAAAAAACTGTATTATTAACCAGTGTTATTTAAAAAAAATTCTTTCATCGTTTCAAATCGTTCTATAGTTCTTAGTTTTATTGTTTGACATCAGGTAAGGAATCTGATCTCTCCTACAGAAATATGAAAGACCTTTCGTTTCATCCTTGCTCTACCAGTTTGCTAAAATTATTAAGTTCAAAATTGCCCAAATTTGTTCATAGTAGTACTAGCGACATTTTTAGCACCTGGACATGAGTTTATCTTTCATCTATGGTCATCTGAAATGAAGATAACAAAATAAGAAGAGAAAGTTATTGTAGTACATCACTTGACAAAATTTCTCCATACTTTATCATCCCCGAAGCTCAATAAGACTTAAAATCTAGAGGTATATAACCTCCTCCATCCAACTATATCCCAAACGCTATACCTCCATTCCTACTAAAATCTCCAAAAGACCACTCCTTAACCCCCTATTTCCAGAAGTCCTCCAGTGCTTGTCTAGAATCTAGCTTTGAAGAGTTTGGAATTGGAGTCAGCCTAAGCTGAAGGATGGATTTTGGTTAAGAATTTGTGTGGTGAGTGGAGAGGAGAAAGCTATTTTTTTAGGAAATTTTAGTGGAAATTTGGGTTGAAGGAGGTCTTGGAGATGGATTTTAGGTATAGAGATGGCGGATGAGAGATAGGGGTAGTTTTAAAGCTTTGGAGTGGTTGATTACTTGTGAGGAATATTAATTGGGATGTGGTTTTAGTACTCCTTACTTGCAGGGAAAGTAATGATTTCTTTACATCCGGAGGGAGTGAGGAGGACTAAAACGATATTCATAATTGGGGCTTTGCAAATAGTCTATTGTCATAAATTTAAGAATAAAGGGTTAATAGATATTATGAATTATCTATATGTGATTATGATTTATTCGAGCAGATTCCAATAGAGTAGAGGAGCAATTTGATGGTGGCAGGTTGAGGAATAGATTTGGGATGTTAATTAGTGATCAGGAATGTTTAATAAACTTTGGATTTCTTTGAGTTAAGTAGTAAGAGTTTTGGTTAAATGAGCTTGATGAAAACTTTTTGAAATTAAGAAGTTAAGTTCGATATTTATGATAAAAATAATTATTTTTGGCACTAAACACATCCAAGATGCCTATAAGAAGAATGATATTTTAGAAGATTATAATGAATCAACTGATATTAATAACACTCATTCTAGATTTAAACTTTGCGTTTTTAACTTCATAGCTTCTTTCTCTCTAATTCTAGCAAAAATTATATCTTATTGAAAAAATATGAAAATTGGCAAACAACAAATATCCCCTCTAGCAAAGCGTCTCTGATTTTACCAATAAAAAGATTGCCAAGTAATATTAGAATGCAATAGATTAGCACTCTTTAAAAGAAGATCCTCTTAACAGCTTTAAGTCAAACTTTTGGTGAAGAAGAGGGAAATATCAATCCATTATTAAATTTCAATACCCAAGAAGCAGATTGGGGTTTTGGGGTTTTGGGGTTTTGGGGTTTTGGGG